CTTCAATCCCTCCTCCGACAGTCCCCGGCACTTCCCTCCTTTCATTGCTACCTTTCAGACTTTCTTTTTTCCCGTTCTGCCGTCTTCCTGTGCCTAGCTGACTCCGTCGGTCGGTGTGCGAGTCAGTCTATCCCTCCGCTGAGCTCGCTTCTTCTCGCCTTCGGTTCCTCCTCCAACACTGACCGACGCGCACCTCCATTGAATGCAAAAGAGAAGACATCGATGCATTGACTTCCAGAACCCCCCTCCCGCTGTGAGAGTTCTCGGCTAGGAGGGTCAGATCTCCTGAGCTACCCAGTTTTCACCTGGAGGTCAGAATCCCATCGGTTGGGATCCCCCATCAGCATTGATCGTAGTCGAGTGGAATGCTCTCGAGTTTTGGCCTTCACCGCTTTTCCTGGCTCGATTTACTTCCGGCGTCGGTTGCCTCTCCTGACGGTGGGAAAATCTGATGTCGAGGGAGCCGTTCCGAAGTTTGCAGCGTTCGAGAAAGAAGAGACTCCCGATCAGCTGCTTGCGTTTTATTGTTCTCCACAGGCTCATTCAACATTTACAAAATACGGCGTATCTCAGATTTTCGGTGAGAATCGTCGATTGCAAGCTCCAACGACTAGCAGACGATGCAGGAATAAATACGATCTCTATCTGAGCGGTTGGCCTGAGCTCCAGGGGATGACTCAGCTATCGTGAGACATTGGCGGGACGCATTGTCTTCCCAGGGTTGAGCTCTCGAGATACTGTCATAGAACGGGGAAGAAGTTCCTCTCACAATCAGTAGGCGACACGACGTTCCTCATCGATCAGGAAATCAGATCCGTGATTTTCACCTCGACACATATGTAGTTGTTGTTCACGAAGCGATCGATTATAGAGAGCGTACAGAAATTCGTTCCCCAGGATGAACCGTTGGGCTCGATGAACATCGTGGCTCCCTTGCCGATTTCCTCGCGGGTGCTGAACTGCTTCTGGATTCCCAAGTCATCGTCTCGTGGATTCAGAAGCAGAATCGAAATCATTTTGTGCATGGGGAATTTCACACCGGACAGCGGTCTGTACTTGATGCTCAGATACTCTGAAGCTGTCGAAGCTTGCACAACGTCCAGCTGTAGCTCTCCCCGATATCCGGATAGAGTGAAGTCGCGACTCGTTATGTTTGAACTGAGCGAATTCGACCTCGTCATGAACATCCGCGCGCTGGGCACTGTCACGAAACACTCGACGTGCTTTCCTCGGAACTCGACGTATTCCGGCGACTTGTGCGCCATCTCCAGGATCTCGAGCCGCGATCCCATGAACTGTATCCGATCGTAGAGGTAAACGACGGCCAGAGAAAATACAGCGATCGTCGCCAATGACAAGATCGAGAGGAAACTCAAACAACAGCATGGCGCGGCACGTTTTCCGCGAACTGGCTGAGCAACGTGGGTTCGAGGAGGTCTTCTGTAGGGAGTCAAAAACTCGTCAACCTCCATCTCGCGAACGAACGACCAACGTCGACACTGTCTGTCCGTTGTCTTTTGAGTGGGATTATCGGCGGAGATGACAACTCGCGGAAAGTGAGTTCAAGTGGCCCAAGATTCCCAGGGCACGTAACGGCGACCGGCTTTGCGGCGACCCCGCATCGAGAATGCATTGTCTAAGAGTGTCCGGAGCGATACATCTTCGGTGATTTCTCTATTGAAAACGGCGCGTATATATATTCGTCTGACGACGGTCGCTTGGAATTCTCGAAGAACTCATCCGACCCCAATAACTGAAATCTGGGAGCACTTCTCTCGAGAAACTGGGCGGCTCGCTAAATTATGTATTCGAACCGAGCATTTTCCCAGTATCCCTCGACTGACAACCGAGCGGGTTCCGTCAGATGAACTCTCATGGGAAGAGATCCCGCCGATTTCCGATCGCAGTTCGCGGGTTTAGTGTTCCGAGAATCTCTGCTCAGGAGCGTGGACCTGGAATCCTTCGTTCTAATAATTGTGGAAAGACGTACACTCAGCGACTTCCGTCAACTGTTAAATGTGCTGACCATTGCGTCATCGATCCCTTGAGTCATCCGTGTGACGGTAGCGTCTTTGAGTGGAGAGTAGAAAACATGATCGAAATTCCGATAATAAGGGACAGACCGCTCGTGTCGGCTTCCGTAATATTTGCATCTTTCCGACTCGGACGATTTCCTGATCGTGTGGGGAATCCTCTGGGCGTAGTAAAGAGTGAAAATCATATAGGGAGAGTTTTTTCGGCAAGTTTTGCGCATTTTCGGAAAATTCATGCGTCCTCCCATCAACTCCATCATAACGACGACCAGGGCGAGCGACGCGCGGGCGAAACTTCGGAGTGGGAATATGATCGTTGAACGGCCTACTGCATCCTCTCCGTGGAGAGAGCTGACAAGCGGGTGGTAAGAGATACCTACCCCGAATTGAAAAGTGAATTGGAATCCTCATGCTTTTCGGCGAGAGGCGAGCTCAGAGTTACAATTTAAATTGTATAATAGGCGCCCCGTTGTCGAGGTGGCCAAGGGCTATCGCTGATGGCTCGCGATGCTTCTCCCTCGTTCTGGCGTTTGACTCGAGTGTGTCAGCCCGGCCGCTCTCGGATGGGGGTGCCCGGTTGGCAAGACTTCGCGTGGCTCGCTCAAACGAAACAAGCGATTCAACGAGAGAGCGAGCAAGAGGACAGACGTTCGGGTGGTCGGCCGCTCGGCTAGCCGAACGGACGGCCGGCTTCTCAAATGTAATAACTAACGGTCCCTGGCCACCGACCAGATGTGCAATTAGGACTGTTGCAATTTAAATATCATAACCCCGTTACTATTTAATAATAAGGCAACGAGACAGCAGCGGTCTCATCTTGCCCACAATAAAAGGACGAGTAGGCGGAGAAGGCGGTCCGAAACTCGCGATGCGAACGATTCTTGAAAATCCCGCGAGCGCTGCTGCTCGAATAGACGACCGATGCAGGGTGCGATTCGGAGTCCAATGAAAGCGTACAGCTGATCCGCGAGGCAAAGTTGCAGCTCCTATGGAAAGTATGCGCTGAGGGAACTATCCGCTCACTGAATTGTGATTCGGCCCCGATGTGACTTATCGGGAAGAAGCTCAAAGTTGGACACGCGTTCCGTGCCATCGCTCGGAGCGGACACCGAGCTATATACACCCGAAGCGCAACACGCTGCTGATGAATATTCGGGAGAGTGCGATGAGTCCACAAAGGCTCATGAAGCAAACGGAGAAACAATGAAAACAAACTGTGTCCGTGCTTTTTGCCTGAGTTTGAATGCTGTATCTGGATTCGTTTTCTGAGGGGCGTCTTCATTTAACGTTTTTGTCCGAGATTTTTTTTCGACAGACTTCCTCCCTGCAGCAACAAAAGTCGCTTGCTCTGATTCCATTTCCCCACCGCGAGGAGAAATCTCGGACAGGGGACGACGCCGACGATAGAGGACAGCCGGGGAGGAGATAAATATCGTCAAAATATCCCAGTCGCTCGTCAAATGGCTCCCACTGAGTTAGTTTCCGCCAGGCCACCATCGACAGGATCTCGTCACTCTACGGCTTTTAAAAGCGGACGCTGGAACGAGAGCTCTAGAGTAGAACGGTTGTGTTAAAAGAGAAAGAGTCGTAACCGAGAAACTAGTGGCACCGTTTGAGTGGCCATGTCACCAGCAGCGTCACCGCCATGTCGTCTGTACGCTCGATTATTTTCCAACCAACGGTTTCGACGAGAACAAACTTGTGAATGACGAGATCAAGGAAACGGCTTTCAAAAGTTTCAGGGCTCCGAAGGGCGTATCGTATGAGAGTGTTACGACCAAACATTACGACGTGAAAACGGAGTTGATCCGGTGTAGGTTTCGATCCTCGCTGATCGAGAAGCTGGGAATCCATGGAAAATCGCCAAGAGGGGCGAGCTGCGGTCTCTATGAGAGCTCGAAAGGTACTTTGATAATGCCAGAGCTTCGAGACAGAACTCGCTCAGCGGAGGCAGACGGGCTTCACACAAAAAAAAATCCATTGAAAACTGGTGCCGGAATTCAATGACAGTCGGGGAGTGCGTTGGGCATTATTATTAATCGTCCCGCGTCGGAGAGGCTCCCGGGTACAGGTGAGTGAGTCTCTGGAGGAATCCCCGCCGCGATGATAACGAACACCCACCTCGCTTCTCCCGAACGGGATTACAATCATCCGACACCTTACTGTTTCGAACGCATGCGCTGCAGGTTCCTTAGATCGGATCCAGGGAAGAGTCGATGCCCTCGGAATTGTCGGGTCGCCTTATTTCGGAATTCAGGAGACGACTCGATCTCATAGCGAGCCTCCGAGCCAAGAGCGTTTCGGACTCCAATATATGTCGACGCGGAGATGGAATAATGAATATTTATAATTTTTAATAATGGATCGATCGATCACTCGTAGCCCTCGACCGCAGGGCACAGACGTTTTCTCCGAAAGTCGCCGTGACTATTCGGTCTCAAGCGCTCATTTTTGCGGCTGATCAGGAATCGACATGGGGGTGTCCTCATGTGGACCGAACTCCCCCATTCGGACAGGTCACCGGCGTTGATTTGCTCTAAACGAACTCGCTCGCAACGATATCAATAGTTTCTTGGGACCCTCCTGGGAGCTCCCGGAAGCCTGATCTACTCAGCGTTTCGGGTTTCCTTAAGGTAAACCGAAAATGATGTTCTCTGAAGAAGCCGCTCGCCTCACTTTTTTTTTCTTTCTTTCGTTTGCCCCGCATCGCTCATCTGACTTCACCTTCATCTCCACAACGGAGCGTTTTCCGAACGCTCCGCAGCCTCCCCGCGTCCGAGCGGAGCTCGCGAAACCACGTTGGGAACGTGTTCCCGACGGTGAGGGAACTACCTGCTCGTCTCACGGGATCTGTGCTAGGCGCGCGAGATCTGCAGTCTCGAAGTGCTGACAATGGCCTAAAGACCTCCCGCTCGCGGAGCAATGCGTTCAGCCCACCGGTAAACAGCGGAACTACGGTCTGAGGTGTGGCAGCAGCAGCAGCAACGAACTGACGTGTGGCTTGGAAGCGGCTGCCACTACTAACAACTGGCTCCTAAGACGCTGCTGCTAGTGTGGTGGTGTGGAAAAGCGAGCGACTGTCAAGCGCTCAGTGTGCGAAAGTTCCGAATTCGAACGAACTGCCCGTCCTGGATATCGCACGAGGAAAGCTGTAGTGTCGGCTGTTGTAAATAGCTTGTTTGGTGGACAGATTTGTGTCGCCGACAACGATGACGAACTCGGATTTCGGCAACCCCCTGCGCAAGTTCAAGCTCGTGTTCCTCGGTGAACAGAGCGTCGGCAAAACGTCGTTGATCACACGTTTCATGTACGACTCGTTCGACAATACTTACCAGGCAACGATCGGCATCGACTTCCTGTCAAAAACCATGTACCTCGAAGACCGCACAGTGCGCCTACAGCTATGGGACACCGCCGGTCAGGAGCGTTTTCGCTCATTGATCCCATCCTATATTCGGGACTCGACGGTAGCCGTCGTCGTCTACGATATCACCAACGCGAATTCATTCCATCAGACCTCGAAGTGGATCGATGACGTGCGCACGGAGCGGGGCACCGACGTTATAATCATGCTTGTCGGGAACAAGACCGACCTGTCGGAAAAACGACAGGTCAGCACCGAGGACGGTGAGAAGAAAGCCAAGGAGCTTCAAGTTATGTTCATAGAAACCTCAGCCAAATCCGGCTACAACGTCAAGCAACTGTTCCGACGAGTGGCCAACGCTTTACCCGGTATGGAAAACACGGAACGAAGCAAGCAGGACATCGTCGACGTAGATCTTAAGGACGGCCCCATCGAACAACCGAAGGAGGACGGGGGATGCGCCTGCTAAGCACTCGTTTGAGGCCATCCTCAGCAGAGGGTACACGACCCATAGCGGAGGTAAGCCTTGCGTTGTTGTATATCCACGTGTCTGTCTGTCAGGTGAACGGCTCCGGTCTCTCGCTACTGCATAGCCCTTATGGTGTTCCCTCGGCGCGGGAGATGAGAGCCCCCGCTGCTCGGGAAAACGCGTGGTTTCGAGTTTCTCTGTGCATTGCCGGGCGGACAACGGACGACGTAGCTTTTCGGAACCCACATGGCCGTAACGCACACGCAAACCAGCAAGCGACCGCCGGCACAACGACCAAACGGAGTGACTCATGTGGCCGAAGGGCTCCGAATGTAGGACAAAAGTCTTCTGTCGACTTTGCCCATTGTGAGATTCGTCAAAAGATTTACAACGTTGACAAATCGCTGGATAGTTTCCCAGCTTATCGAATCGATTGCATCGGAGTTACTTGAAATCGGGCAAGAGTTCTGACCGCTGCCGATCCGAGCATGACAATCAGCTGATCGTCGTAGTAGCCATCGTCAGGTCGGTCAGGTGATGCCGGTCTATCATTGTTTCGACTCCGAGATGTGGGGACTTCATCGATTGTGGTGCCTTCCCGCCTCCCGTATTAATTGTGAGATATAGAGAAGAGGAACGTTTCCTCTGAGCTAGATCCAGGTCTCAGCTACCGGTTCTCAAGTCACTGTAACGCCTCATTCCTCATTAAGAACCTTGACTGCTGCATGCAAGTTTTCGCATGATCGCTTCGGTAGGCAGAAATCGCTTCTGATTTCATAGATTCGTTTTGGTTTTCAGGCAAAAACAACGTGACTTCGCCGTCGCTGTGATAGTTGGAGGCAGGAAGATCGGCCCGCTGCAGTGGCTGACTTGTCTTGTTCATCTTGTCAACAGTCAACTTCGGTGTGTGTGGTGCGTGCCTGAATGTAAATACAAACTTCACAATAAATTCTCTCACAGGATCGATCGATTAGTAGTAGCCGTTGTGTGAGACCGAAGTGTGACACCAATGAAAATAACGAGCCGTGTCAGAAGCTACTCGATTTCGAGCCTCAACTACATGACGGTCGTCCGGCAAAACGGCCTCCAGCCTTAGGGCCTCCTGTGGAGCTTTTGGAGACGTTTGGAGTTGGATGCTCTTCTGGTTATCAATCCCCTCCTAACATCGCGCACTGAGTATGAGCGGGGTCACAATAACTCGTATCGACTTTTCCTGCAATGTCGCAACGCATACCGCCAGGACTGACTTCGTTCTGAGCGTTGGGGAAAGTGAACCGAAGAACTCTGTGAGAGGAGGGTGTTCTGATAGAGGAACAGTTTTCAATGTAGTAGCTCCTGACCCCGCTCGAGGTTGCAGCCCGACGGAGCGTTGCGAGTCGGCGTTCCACGTTTCTCGGTATTGAGAGAACATGTGAAGAGCGGGAAGAAAGGGCGTAGAGCGTAATATATTCGAGGGATCTATGTCAAGAACGAGGAAAACGGAAGCCAGAACGGATATCATATGAGTTTTTATAACAATGATGATGAGAGCGAGAAAATTAAGAGCGTCGGAATCACGACCACGAAAATGAATAAAACAATGGACGATGAGTTTCAATGATCGGCTTCTTCCGTTCGGGTTGGTTACCAAGTCTTGTAAATCACAGAATCCCTCATGTCGGCTTCGGCCGCCCACCGGTCGGGCTCTGAGCTCAGGTGGTCAGATTCGGCTCTAGCGATTTCCGACCTCGGCGGCTCATATTTTGGTCCCTCGGACGACGAAGTGCAGATCCATCGCCTTAACTCCTTAACCCGTTGGCATCAAATTAGAACGTCCGAATACGGTCGAAAGTCGTTTCCGAATCATGTCGTTGTCATTATACTTTAGACATTCATGCGCGAATGACCGTGGCGAAACAAGTTGGTCCTGTGATGGCGGACAGAGTGCCGACAGCGTTTATCATGGCCCGAGAACTTCGACGCTATGACGGGGCCAAAATTACTGGGCGGAAATCATGATTTCATTCTTGATGGACTCATATCCGGATCGGAGATGATAGAAACTGCTTTCAATGTCATATCCATGAACGTCCCTCGGACTCTTCAAGCCTCAACGGAAAAACGGCATGGGGGAATTCAAGCAACCTGACGAATGCAACAACTGTCGAGCGGAGCCTCCTATACACTTATTGCGAACGCATCCATTGGATGCGCCACGTACATAAATGGAAAGACTTTCGAACATTCCCGAGGCATCTCCAGCTGGGCGCACAAGGGGATCCCTCCAGCGTATATTTCTTGCGAGCATACCTCTAGCTTTACAAATTCAGAGCGAGTACGTTGTAATGTACCGATCACTGGATGAAGTTTCGAATATCGCGGGAAAAGAAAATCTTATATGACCGAATCGGAACCAGGGGAACTCCGCTCGACTCGGGGAGTCGAGGAAGATTTTTCCATTTTTGATCCTCCGAAAATTTAGGGTAGTTTCCTATCAAGAGAGAACGCCATTGGTCTTCGTGTTATATTCCTGAATCCGACACCGGTCAATCTATCTTCATGCACTGCTCACTTAAGCGAGGCTCGGAGATTCTAAGGTTGGTGACTTGGAAGAGTATGTGCTCATTTCTGGAATCGCGGTGGACTGCCCACGTCCGAACGCATTTTCGAGGTTTTCCTCGAGAAGTATCTACCATTCCTTCGCAAGTGCCGTACTCGAGGTACGTCCTCGAACGGTGGGCTCTCGGGCAGTTTCAAGATGGTTGAGACAATCATCGCCGTGAAGACATGATTTGTAATCGAAGCGTGTCGGACAGGCTAGATTCACCTCATTCGAATCAAGAGTGAAAGGAACTTGTAAGATAGCGAGATACTTAAGAATTTTGTAAAACTAACTTGGGAAGAGCTTTTAATAAACAATCTAACCAAGCGATTGATTGCGTATTCATTCTCATCCCGTCAGAGGAAGAAGAGCATACACTCCCGGTGGCGCTCACTCGGTAAAAACGAACTATCGAGTCTCCGGCGAATCGCTTCGGACCCGAAGAAATCACATAATAAATTCGCAGCTTGCGACCCGCATGTTCCACCATTGGGAGTTCATTCCACTTCGACCTGATTGAGTTTCGGACAATCATCTGTCATGGACTTGTCTGATTGGAGATCGAGGCCAAGCGTTGCCGTTCGCCTAAACGGCTCGGCAAGGTAAGTTGAAGGTCACTTCGAAACACACAACTTGTCTAATGATTCGAGGCAGCTACCAAGATAAAAACGACCCTCCGTCCGAAAACGCCTCCTTGGAGTAGAGTTGAGCATTTCAATTTTGACATCCTTCGAAGAATTGTGTATCAAACCTCGGCTGAGAATCATGACCGAAGAATCGTTTTGTGTCTGACCCCTGAGCCCCTGAGTAGAGAACGGAAAAGCTGTTTCCGCGCCATCCGAACGGCCGTTTTTGCTGCCAGAAGAGGTTCCGCTCGCCGAGCGCTTATTTGGCGGAATGGAAGACGCTAAAAGCTTGGCCGAATAGCGGTGAACTTCCTCTAATTGGCAACGAATGAAAACTTTGTTTAAAGACCACAATGGCGGACTTCCTCATCTGCGGCGCTGTCAAGCTACCCGATCGTCATTGTTCGTACTTCGTCCGCAATCAGGGCTCCATGCGATTTGGCTCTTTCCTTACAGATAATGGAGACGGCGAGCTGAGCGAAAATTCCATTTCGCATTAACCGATTTCACATTCGATAGTATTGAAGGAATTCGTTCCAGGCAACTTACAGGTCTGATGGAGTCTATATCCCGAATGTCCATAAATCTTATCAAAATGACGAATCTATCTTTCCATCATTCGGGCTCATGAGAAACATCCGCGGGATTCAATCCGAGAAAAGAGCTACTTTCCAGAGTAGTGGGCGTATCAATCCCGTGGGTTTTTCTCGGGACGACTTTTTGGATGGCCGACCAACGGTTCACCACAAGAGGCTCGGATCATTGACGTGAATTCTCTGTTCAAAATATTCTAACGCTCCAAACGAGTTTAAAGTCTCTGTGAAATACCTTGAGGTCGTTCTCCTTGTTTGGCTCTGATCCATTGTCCCTAAAGTCCCGCCACGGATTCGAGCCTGGGCCGATCGGGACAGGATAATATGCGGATTGTGATTTTCTGTCAAGAGGTTGTACATGATCGGAGCAGCATTCATTCATTGCGATTGGACGATGAGCTGCCAGATCGATCCGGGGAATTGTGTCGAGTTCCGGTCTCTAATCATGACTGTACCGTGCCTACGGTGCGTGCAAACACGGTGTTGGGTGTAAGACGAATAAATGTCTCGGGCAACAAGACGATGAGCGATGACTGGGGCATGAGTCGGATGCATCAAGAGATGGCGAGGCTTTCTTCTCGGCAATGTTTACCTGTACCCCCTTCGCCCCGCATTCACTCGGAGCCGTGCTCCCGTTGATGGCCATAGTTTTCCCTGGTCGTTGCTCCGACGAATCTTCCCTCTTTTCGCTTTCGCACCATCCTATCATCCTACCCCCGTTCCAGCAAACTGTGTCATCCGTCTTCTGTGGAGGCAAGCTGATAGCCCATTAATTTCTTGGGTCCTTCGTAGAGACGGAGGAGGTAGCAGTAGCAATCGTAGCGAGTCCCGCTTACGTGCCGCGACAGCACTTGAGCGAATGAGTGTCGGCGCCTTCGTTCGACCGAGAGACTTCAGTCTTCCGGAGTCGAACGGAAGCGAGTCGATGAATTCTCGAAGTGACACTCGTTCCAGCGAAGATTGGCGATGAATTTTCGCGACGGAGCTGTCCGGACGAAAATCTCTGCGTCGAATTCGATAAGAGAATTCCGCCAGAAAATCATCGACCGGTCGATCGACTCATAGCCTAGAGAACGCGGACAGGGACAAACAAATGGGTCCGCGGACGAAGAACGGCTGGTGGCTAGGCGGAACGGGACGACCATGCAGCGGACAGGCATCAATGCGAGCAGCAGCAGCGTCGACGGGCGAGCGAACGGTCGGTGGCTCGCTCGGTCAGCGAGACGGCCATCAGGTAACCTGCTCAAGACCAGGCATGCCTCAGGAGGACGGGGAAGAAGAGGCCGCTGTATATAATTAACGCTATCAATAGCTTCTTATCATCTGTCAACTCCTGATCCGTCCCTCCCGCTGGCCCGTTTTCCCGTGGAGGACGAGGGGGAGCTCCGCGAGCCTGCCATTCCAGCGAGCGAGCTGAGCGGCGACCAGGTAGCTGACTTTTGCAGAGAAGGGGAAGTATCTGTCGTCCTGTCCCGATCGTCCGTTCGTCCCGTACAACGAAAACCAAATCAGCCAAACCTCCTCGCTTGCCTTTTCATCAGAACCCCTGGCATCGTATCGCATCGATCGGAGCCGGCTGTGAAGGCTGTGCTCGCAGCCGTCACGTCATTTGTGCTCCGCGGATCAAACGTCAACCCGGTCCGTATGAGAGAATCTGCAACATCCGAGCGGTTTCGGACAAGGGTTCAGGAGGGATGGATGAAGACGCGAAAAACATCGACGCTACGCTCCGAGGTACGCGGACTGCGAACATTGTCATCGTTGTCGCTGAATCGGTCGTCCGAGTCGCGAGGTCCTGACCAGATCATGGAGAGTCCTCTGATGCAATCATGCCCGTACGGATCATGGGGTTGCGAGAAGACTCTCCGCTGCAAAACTGGAAGCGCAGTATTATGTCCTGACCGTGCCCCGCTAGCCGAGAGTCGTGGTATCGCTACTGGTGGTGATCGCCGACTCCATGACGAAGCGGAGCGAAACAGAAAGGTGTCTCCAGCGCTGCCGCCATTGACGATGAATCGACTTTCATTGAGGCTTTTAGTCGTTCAGTCGGTCGGTCGGTCGCTCACTGGCGGGCTGGCTCACTGGCGTTCAGTAAGCTTAAATAGGTGTGTAGCCGTTCTTTAACACAAAGGCTCTATAGAATAGCTGGTTCGTTGGTTG